GATTAAAAGCAATTCATAATGAAGCTTTGTGTATATTTGGCTCATTTACTGCCTGAACACCCTAGCAGCTTGATGCGAAATCGTATAAACGCTCCGCTTCCCGGATGTCACCTTACTACAAGTCGCAAAGCAATAACTTAACCCTGTTCTTACCCCTCTGGCTTAAGCCAACATTCCAGCTATAGCGGAGCAGTCACCTGTCATCTATTAGAAGTCCTGTGAGCGTTCCTTTGCTTCCGTAGCAACGGAGCGAGGATGTCACTGTGAAATTTTTCTCTCAACAGATAAGATTTTCCCAACATTTGCTGACGCACGATGAGAGAGTGAACACCAAGGATTTGCTTTGAAAATTCAAGGCCCTCTTTTTTACAGGTTTTTAATTGCGACGACAAAGCACACAGCGAATTCGCTGTAATTTAATTATTTCGATATCGCACCGTAAGCGTATCTTAGATGAAGCAAGCACTGAGCAGAGTAGTTGCATCTTCCACAACTTTACTGCTGAAATAATAACCAACCTGGCGGCATTGATGGTGGACATATCGGTGCCAACAGTTTGAATGACACGATGTCCTAACGCTACTAGGCCAACACATATCGCCAGTACACCATAGAGAAGAACGTAAATGGGTGTTTCACCATGTTGTCGAATATCCAAGTTAACGTAAATCGACAGTAACGTTGTCAGTGGTGCTATTGCGTTTCTGTACGTAGATAATTTGTTTAGTTTTCACGTGCCGTGGGCAGTAATTTTTTAACCTCACACCTTATATCAGCTGGAAAGCATCAAAAATCACTGAAAAAAAAACAGGAAAAATAAATCTGAAGCGAAAAATTTAACGATAAATGAAAATAAACTGTATTCAAGCAAACAGTAGAAAAACAGGAACAGCCTATCGTTTTAGTTAAGACTGCACTTTAGGCCAATGCGAACATTTAAATTTGGGATCTTCTTTTTCGCCAAAAGCTGGATACGCCACTGCACGGCCGTATTGTGAGAACGAAAATACAGACTGACCCAACGTCATTAGCGCCATGTGCGAAACCTGCGAAGCATGCGGTAAAGGCTTGTATTGAGCTGAATATTTTCATTGTTCTCGGATCTGCTGGTCGATTATCCAGTGGCAGTAACCACGTAATTAATCTCACTGCTGCTGCAAAATCACACATAATCAGTTTTTATGCGTTTTTGCCGTGCAGCGCTAGAGCGCTGCAACAGGCAGCAAAAACGCATA